ACCACAGTGGGAGCATTTCTCCGTGTGGGGCAAGGCACAAACACGACCAAGGGACTGCAGGATGATGAAAAGCTGCTGCAGGATCACCTCCAACCTGAGGGCAAACCCCAGCTGCAGCCTGCCTGCCCTGTTTCTCCTCCCCCCTGCAGAGGGGAGTCACAGAGCCCGGCAGAGGGAAAGATCCCCCCAATCCCTCACACAGGTCACCCCAGCCAGGGCCTGCAAGGGGCAGAGGGCACGGGGGAGTCTTTGGCATCCAGCAAAGAGGGACTGCCGCGTGTGCTGCCAGTCCTGGGGCTCATCCCTGCAGCCCCAGCCACCCTGGGCTGGCACAGGGCTCAGCAGCAGCTCCTGGCATGCTGCACGGGCTGGCCTCTGCCCTCCCCTCTGCTGGTGCCCATGTCCCAGCTGACCCCCCTGGGGCTGCAGAGGGGCCTGGGCAGGGCAATCCTTCCCCGGGGAAGGGTCCTGCCTCACCAGGTGCCAGCCCTCTCCAGCTCCCTTCCCTGTGGGAAGCAGAACTCCTGGCCAGCCTTTATTCCACGTGTGATCGCAGCACTCCCTGGAGGCTGCTGAGAAGCCAGCCCTGGCTCCCTCCCTCAGCTCAGGAGGGTCCGTGCCCGGGTGCCAGGCGGGCACAGGGCTGCTGGCAGGGAGGGGATGTGCCCTCAGTGCCTGCAGAGCAGCCGTGGTGGGTGCCCTGCTCCAGCTCTGGCAGCAGGACATTCCCAGGGAGCTGGCAAAGTCCCCTGCCACCGCTCAGGGGGGTGGGCAGTGAGAGATGTGCCCTCTGGCCAGGCTGTGGGAGGCTTGGAGGAGCTGCTCCCTCGGATTTGACTCTCTGTGCTTCGGCCATGGCTGAGAGCATTGCTTTGTGCCATGTCCCCTGCCCAAAGGGATCCTGTCCCACAGAGTAACAGGGTCAGGGCTCACAGCTCCTGGCACTGGCACAGCAGTGCCTTGGGTGGCAGGGACGAGCCCGGCCCTGAGGCTGGGGGTGAAACTGTCTGGTGTTCCTTATGTTAGCTGAAAGACACACTCTGCTGTATTGAGTGCTTTGAAGGGCTCATTCCCAACTTACTCATGGCTCCCTAGCAGGGAGGAAAAAGATGCAGCTCCCTTTTCCTTCTGGGCATTCCCAGCAACACCCTGCAGGGTACCTGAGCTGGCTGGTCCCGTGCTGGGAGATCCCTGGAGCTGCAGAGATGAAACAGGGCTCAGTCAGGGCATGCCCAACCCCAGCCCCAGCCTGGGGCTGCCTGGGGACACCCCAGAGGTGTGGCAGGGTGTCCCTGGTGGTGGCTGTGACTGGGGAACAGCCCGAGGGTCCTGCCAGGCACAGAGCTCAGGGAGGCTGCAGAGAGGAGGAAAATCCTCTTCCCAAGGGAGAGCTGAGCCCCAGCCAATCCCAGTGCCCTGGCAAAGCACTACTGGGAATTGCTGGGTTCTGTGAGCTCCCACATCCCAAAATCTCCAACAGGGAGTGTGGGAGCTGCTGCCTCTCCCAAAGGCAGAGACTGCTGGGTGGGCAGCCAGGCCAGGCCAGGCTTCCCAGACAAGGCTGAAATTCCCATGAATTCCTGCCCAAACTGGGACTGGGTGAAGGGAGAGACCAGCAGAGCTGCTGCTCCCCAGCCCGGGGAGGGGTCCTGAGGCTCTGTGGGGCAGGCAGTGGTGATGAGGGCAGACCCCCCTGCTGAGGACAGTGCCCTGGCTCTGGGGATGTTCTTCCCCACAGCCAGATCATCCCAGTGCACTCTGAAGTCCTTGCAGTGAGGCAAGGAGGCAGCACTGTGTGCTGAGCCAGCCAGACCTTCCAGGTGTGCTTTGAAAGCTCAAAACTTGGATTTTCTTCCAGTCCAACCTTGCAAATTTACAAATCTTCTGGGAAATCTTAATTTTAAAGGAAATGCTGGCTTGGGCAGGACTAACAACCCGTTCCCTCTGAAATAGGAAAGGCACGGAGAATAGCCTGGCCTAAAAACCCACCCCAAAAGGCAACCCAAACGTTTTAGCCTCAATTCCCTCGTGGAAACTCCAGGACAAGGTGACCCACCAGGAGTCACACAGAGGCCCCCAGAGGGCCTTGCAGGCGTGAATGGAAGCTCAGAGCTGAGGCCACTTTTACCTTCCTAAAACTCTTCAGCTCCTGGCCTTGGCATCCTCCCTGCGTGGCTCCTGCTGCCAGGGGCTGTCCTGTGCTCCTCTCCAGGGATCCCACAGACAGCCACAGCTCCCAGGTCTGCAGTAAAGTGAAGGATTTTCCTGCACACATCTGTAAAACAACTGCCAGATTTCTCCTTTGGCCTGCTGCAAATTCAGGTGTAGGTGGAAGTTTTAAACTTTTTGTGTCAGTGGCTGAATGCAGAACGTGTGAGGTGGTGAACATCCTGCCAAAGCTCCAAAGGCAGCAGGAAGATAGAGACAGGACAAGCAAAGGGCTGAAATGGGATTTTCCTCCTTCAAAGCTCGTTTCGTGTTGCCTGGAGTTCACCATGTGAAGCAGACAGCAAATCAGAGGGGTGGGTTTTTCACATTTTTATTTACTAAGGTTTTTATTGTGTGTTTTATATTGCAAACCCCACCCCTAGAACTCTTCCCCTCCCTTCCCCCCCAAAAGAAACCAAATAATAGTAATAATAATAATAGTAATAATAATAATAATAATAATAATTAGTAATAAATATAGTTCCACCTACTGAGACAAGCCTAGTGTTGACTGGGGTCCAGTCAGAGTAACTCAAAGTTGGCTACTGCAGTGCTGAGAGCTGGAAACCCAAAGAAGATCCCCGAGGGAAGCAAAGCCAAGGAGGATGTCCTGCAGTGAGGAAGGGGCAGTGCCAGCCCTGGGTGTCCCCTGCAGGTCCCCAGGGTGGCCAGGACTCGGGGCCAGCACAGCAGCCACGGGACAGGAGCCAGGAGGGCTGGAGACCCCCCCTGCCTGCCCAGCCCAGCCCCACTCGGAGCCCCCAAACTCTCCAGGTGCTCGGCCAGGGGCCCTCTGGCACACAGGGGAAAGGTTGGCTAAAAACCCAAAAAACTGGAAAGGATATTGTGAGTCTTCCTTCTACCTCTGAAAACATGAGAGGGTCTGTGAGTCTGCTTCAATTCCTGTTTCAAGATGAACCTGTACATATTTGGAAAAGCAGGATCTAGAGGTTATAATTGTCACCTGCCAATCAGCCCTGCAGGAGGGTCAGAACTGACACGTATTTTAAAACTAGGATATACATATATATATATATATATATATAAATATGTGTGTGTGTGTGTGCTGACACATGTGCATAAATAGACTACAGATGTGTGTGACTACCCTACAGATAGAAAAGCAGGTGTGTAGATATAGATACATCTATAAAATCTATACAAACACACACACACACACACGCTCACCCTCCCACCACACTCACACAGACAGAGCTGTATGGAGCCAGTAGAAAAAGCATTTCCAGAGTTCCCCTGACCCTTTAAGGAAGACCAAAGCTGATCACATCTGAATTCGGAGCCACCAAAGCAGGGTGAAGCAGGAGTGCCCAGGAATGCAACATTCAAGGTGCAGGCACGTGGCAGAGAGTTCTGCAGACAAGTCGGTATAAAAACTGTCAGCCAGGGTTTGGGGCAGGGCACAGGGAGCTGGAGGGGCTCGGGATGGGGTGGGGAAGTTTTTGGCACTGCTGCATGGAGTCCTGCGTCCCCGTGAGGGCTGGGGACAGAGGGAGGCTGGATGTGTCTCTAAGGAGCGTTAGAAAAGTTGAGCACCTGACTCGGACAGTGAGGTGGCCCTCGGCCTAAGAAAAACCCAAAGAGAGAGAGGAAGGACGAAGTGACACCAAAGGAGACTGCCCTGGAGGTAAAGGCTGTGGCTGCTCAGTGCGGCTGGCCCCGTTCTGTCCCCACCCCACCGCAGTGGCCCGGGCGGGGAGCCCAAAGCCCAGCCCCAGGAGCCCCGGGGTGCTGCAGGGTGTCAGGGGAAGCCCACCAGGTGCAGGCTCTTATTGCTGGTGAAATCAAACAAAAGATTTCGGTTCCCCCAGCAGGGGACAAGCACAGACCATGGCCGGCCAAATTTCTGGGCTGATCTGGTTTTAATGGTAAAAACGGAGTTGTAAGTCGTGGAACTGTCCTGGTGCCTCACGCTGCCCTGGGCTAAGGAGGAGGAGGGCTGGGGACTGCACCCACTGCTCAGTCCTTTCTAGTTCTCCTCAGAGCAGTCCTCCAGGGACACTGAGACACTGAAGTGACAGAGGGGACGTTACAGCGCTGCCTCTTCCTTCATCCCTCCCGTGCTTTGCTAAAGCTCGGGGCCTTCTGCCTGCTGTGCTGGCAGAGCCAGGGCTTCTCCCTCTGCCCACACGCCAAAGAACAGAGGGATCATCCCTGCCCTCCCTGTGCCTTGCAGGGATTGCTCCCTGTTCCCACTGCAGCATCAGTGGAGTAAGAAAGGGACAATGTGCAGCGAGGCCCATCCATCTCCTGGTCACCTTCATCTTCCTCAGCTGGAGTCCAACCCAAACCTCAGCCCGTGGGAAATCCCTCAAGGGGTCTACAAGAGTGAACTCGCCCCTCCCTGGCTCCTCTGTGACCTGGCAGGGAGGCAGGGACACTTCGGTGTGTGCTGGGCCACCCACGTCCCCAGCCCCAGGGTCACAGCCGGGGCAAAGCTGAGGCCAGCCAGGGCTGCTCTACAAACACCAGCTCCAGGCCGGACCCACGAGCCCTTCTGTGGCCCACATCAACCTCGGAGCTTTGTCTCAACAGAAAAACCTTTTTGGTGGCTTCTATGGCTGCTCATTCACGTGTTCCAGCTCAGGCACGCGCCCTGGCTGTGCGTTACCTCGTTGGATTAAATTTGCTCGTATCCTTTTTTTCCTGTGTATTAAAATATTCTATAAAATCAAGTGACCAAAAATCTATAGCTCTAAGAATACCTGGTTATCTTCTTTTTTTTTTTTTTCCCGTTTTTTTTCATGTGTTTTTTTTTTGTTTCTAAGCACAGTTAAACCTAAACAAAAGAAATGGAGAAAGAAAAAAAAGCAGGAGTGGTGCAGGGGGAAAGAAAAGAACAAATTGCTCGGTGAACTCATCAGGAACTGAAGGGCAGAGCTGGCAGGAGCAGCTCCTCCAGGAGTCCTCACAAATTGGAGGGCAGTTTGGACCTGACGGGCTCCAGATCCCCCGTGAGCACTATGGACTCTTTCCGCCCGCCCGCAGTCAGGGGAGCGGCGCCGGCTCCCAAGGCCAGCGGGTGTGGCAGAGAACCTGAGGACATCTGGCGTGGCAGCGTCACCCGCCCGGGGATGGAGCTACACGGCCTCCCCAGCAGTCCGCTCCCGCCGCCGGGGAAAGGGGAGAAGCTGGAAACAGATTCTCTGGAGGAATGAGGAGAGCTGTGGCGGCCCAGCGTCTGAGCCAGCTCCTGGGGCAGAGAGGGCTGGGACGCAGAAATCAGCTTGATGTCCTGGTTGAGGCGCCCCGGCGGCACCGCGCCGCGCGCCGGCAGCGGCTGGGCCGGGGGGCTGGCGGGCTGCGGCAGCAGCAGCGAGCCCTGCGAGCCCGAGGCCCCGCCAGGGCCGCTCTGGAAAGTTCTGGCGGCCACCGGGCTCTGACTGGGAGGACTAAGGCCAGAAGGGGTGTAGGAGGGAGAGGCGATGCCGGGCTGCTGGAGCGGGGACGCGGAGGCGAAGGGAGGCCGCTCTTGGTGGAGCTGGGCTATCGTTCCAGTCAGAGATCCTAAAGCACTTGGATGTGTTTGGCACAGGCCTGCGGACGGCCCGCCCGAGGCCTGCGCCAGCTGGCTGAGGCTGGAGGATGGAGAGTTGGAAGAAGGAGGGGCTTGGAAGTGGTTCAGTCCCCCCAGGGTCCCACTGCCCGAGAGCTGCTGCGACTGTCCCCCCTGCAGTGGTCTCGTGGTGGGCTGGAACTGGTTCAGGAGGCTGGGAGGGGAGTTTGATGAGAGCTGGGTGAGGGATGTCGATGGGGAGCTGGCTGAGGCTTGCTGGAAGTGCCCAAATCCGCTGCTGGAGAGGGCTGGCTGCTGCTGCTGCTGCTGCTGCTGCTGCTGCTGCTGCTGTTGCTGCTGCAGGGGCTGAGCTGCGCCTAAGGGTGACCCAGAGGGTGCACTCTGGAACTGGCTCAGCCCCACCGAGGAGGTGCTGCTCGGCCCCGGCTGGCCGGAGCCCCCCGGAGGAGACCCCACCTGGAACTGGCCCAGGCCGGCGGCGGCCGAGAAGCCGGCGAGCTGCTGGATGTGGAAGGAGGAGGACGAGGGCGTCTCGGCGCCCGGCGTGTGCAGCTGGGACGGGGTGCTGGACAGGGAGCCCACGGCAGAGGGGCCGGCGGACGGGATGAGCGACTGGAATCTCTTCAGCTGCCGGGGGGTCTGGCTGGGCTGCTGGCCCAGGGAGCCCAGCACGGACACGGGCGGGCGGAAGATGGCCGTGGGCAGGCGCGGGTGGTGGGTCAGGGCGATGGCCACCGAGGTGGTGGCGGCGGCCGCCTGCAGCGGGGCCTGGATCAGCGGCGTCCAGATGACCGGCGTGGGCGTGGAGGCGGCGGCGGCGGCGGCCTGCACGTTGTGGGCACAGTGAGCCATCTCCCGGTCGTGCTGCACGATCTGCTGGATGATCTCGTTCTCCTGGTAGTTGAACACCCCCGAGTTGAGGTCGTGCTGCACTTTGTGCAGCAGGATGGAGTTCTTCTTGCCTGTGGAGCAAGGGAGGAGAGGAAGGGTCACTGTGGGTGGCAGAGCATGGGGGTTTCAGAGCTTCCTGCCCCACTCCCCTGCAATGCCTCCCCCTGGTGCCCCACACAGCCCCTGGGGGACCGTGCACAGCCTCTGCCCAGCAGCAAGATGGCAAACATCTCAGAAGTGTGGAACCAGCAGCCTCAGGTCCCACAGAGAGGGAACTGGAACACAGAGCTGCATGTCCAACAGGACACGCATCCTTAGGCAGTGACAGCGCTGCTGGGAAATGTGGCAGACTGGCTGCAAACAGCTGATGGATTTGGAAGATTCCCATTTTGCACCTCAGCCTCCATTAGAAAAAGAGAATAAAACCTCACAAATATAAACCCGGTGAAGTCTTCAGCCACTCTCCTTCAGCTTCACCTTTTCCTCACCTGTCTCAGGTGCCTTGGTCACTTTGGAGTCAAATATATGGGTTCACTTGAAATGAGACTTCTCTGGGAGTCAGGACTTGGTCTTGGAGTCTTTTCCAACCTGAATGATTCTGTGGCTCCACTCTGTGGAGCTGGAAAAGCTCAGCTGGGCCAGGTAGGACCCTCAGGCATCCTGCAGCAGCTGTGCCCCTGGAACCCCAGCTTTAGGGAAGGTTCCAGCTGGATTCCCAGCCTGCAGCCAGAGTTTAACTCAGCCCTTTGCCCTTGCCATGGGCTGGAAAATGCAGTGGAATGATTTGTCCAGCCTGGGAGTGCAGCTGGCACTGGAGGGATGCACTCCTGGGCTGAGGGACAGAGCCAGCCAGGGCAGGGCCTGGCACCAGAGGGATTTTCTTTTTATCCCACCCAGCCAGCTCTCAGATCTTGATGATCTGAGGCACATCTAGATGACATCCAGATGATTGTTTGGGTTTTTTACTGCATGATGTAGCTTTTAAGTGTGCAGCAGATAAAAGAGTAAGAGTTTAAGGACATGCCTCTTAGTCCAGCCAAATGGAAAATCAAACATCTGTCAGGAGAGAGCTGGAATGGCACTGGAGAGGGAAAGTGGCTCCTGGTCTCCTAAAGAGCCACTCTGAAACAGCAGAGCCTTGGATATAACTCACTGAGTTCCAAATCCAGCAACAGAAAAAGGTGAAACAACTCCTGCACCAATAAAGAGGAAATTGTACAATAGGAGGGAGGTCCCAGTCACTCCCACCGTGATGCTGGGAAGGTAAAATGTGTTTAGTTCTTGCTGCAAAGCATGGAATGTACAGAAAGCACCCCCATGAAAAACATCAGTGAGAAAGCACAGCACATTCAGAACAGAGGTGATTGCACAGCTGAGGAGGGAGCTCAGGGACAAAGGAAGCTGTTCCCAAACATTCCCTTCCCTTGCAGGAGGAACCAGCAGACACAGATTTGAGCCAAGCCCATAAAAAAAGAAGGAGCAATCTGACTGAAATTGCAGATACTGCCAGAACACGCTGATGTTTTGCCTTCCCTTTTTCAAATCAAGCCTTTGTCACCCCACAAAGGACAGGGGGTGGCTCTGAGGGCTCTGTGGGTAAAGCACTGAAATGCTGCCAGAGTTCTGATCCTGGATGTGCAGCCGGGACCTGGCTGCTGTGGGGAATGGGATGGGATGCTCAATGCTCTGCTGTTGTGCCTACTGCCAATCACTCGCTGCAAAAAAACAAAAGGCAGAAAAGCTTTTGTTTCCCACTCAGAGCAAGATTCTAGCCCAGGAAGGATGTGATCCTGAAGGCAAGCAGAATTTGGAGCTGCTCAAGTAATTCCAGGGGCTGGAAATGTAAGTGTAGGAATTCTCTAATGGCTGTTTGTTGTATGCTGGACTGGAACAGCTCTGAATAACCCCACAGAGACAGATCCCAGTCCTTCCCACAGCCAGGCACAGCAGAGGCAGCACCAGCACCTTTAAATGGGGTTTGGCACAGGAGGTCACTGAACACACACACACAGAGTCATTCCCACCCAGATCTGCTAAAATCACAGAAAATGAGCTCCAAAGAGCTGCTTAACCACACTCAGAGACACAGACTGTGTGTGGAGAGAGCAGAACCTGCCTGACTGCAGCTGGCAGGTGAGGGAGGACGTGGCCAGACTGCAGCATTCCAGAGTCACAGAGAGACTGGGACTGCAGCTTTGCAATCCTGCCCTTCCTGGAGCTGAAGGGACAAATCCCAGCATGGGCCATGTGCAGCTCCTGCAGCACTGCAAGGTCAGGCTGTGCCTGGGACACACGCTGAGCTCAAAGCAGCCAGGCACAAAGCTGCTGTCCCGAGATAAAACCGGCCTGAGGGGAAGGGCCAGAGCAGGGCAGCGAGGAGCAGCTTCCCAAAGCTCCAAGCAGCCACTGCTCCGTGCTGGTATCTCCATACCTCATCCCACTCTTCCAGTGCCTCACCTCATCCTGCTCTTCCGGTGCCCGAATCCCATCCCACTCTCCCAATGCCCAAATCCCATCCCACTCTCCCAGTGCCCTAAATCCCATCCTCCTCTCCCAGTGCCCAAATCCCATCCCACTCTCCCAGTGCCCAAATCCCATCCCACTCTCCGTGCTCTAACCTCATCCTCCTCTCCCAGTGCCCAAATCCCATCCTCCTCTCCCAGTGCCCAAATCCCATCCCCCTCTCCCAGTGCCCAAATCCCATCCCGCTCTCCCAGTGCCCGAATCCCATCCCACTCTCCCAATGCCCGAATCCCATCCCACTCTCCCAATGCCCAAATCCCATCCCACTCTCCCAGTGCCCAAATCCCATCCCACTCTCCCAGTGCCCAAATCCCATCCCACTCTCCGTGCTCTAACCTCATCCTCCTCTCCCAGTGCCCAAATCCCATCCCACTCTCCCAGTGCCCAAATCCCATCCTCCTCTCCCAGTGCCCAAATCCCATCCCACTCTCCCAGTCCGTGTCACTGGCTGTGGCTCTGGGGCTGCTCCCAGTGCAGGGTCTCCCTGAATCCCTGCATTGTGGTTCCCCTCCTTCTCAGGCTACCTCAGCTAGCTGGAAACCACACTGATTTCTGGCACCTGCAGTCTGGGTGAAAGGCAAGGACAGGACTGCAAAGCTGGGCTGCTGAGGCGGGAGAAACTGCTCCAAGTAATGGAACACGAGATGGGATCCAGCTTTGAGGGTCTCCTGCTCAGTGCCCAGAGGTCTGTGTTGGCACATGGATTCCTCACTGGAGAGAGAATAATGCTGTGCCTCCAAGCTGCCTTTGTAGAAATCTCTGTGAGTGCATTTCTGTGATTCCCAGAAGAAATCCCCCTGGATGTCTCCCAGCCCGAGCTCCCAGCTGCACTCCAGGGGCTCCACAGCCCAGCTGAACACTCACCATGCTGATGCTTTCCAAACGTGCCTGATATTTACTGGAAGTGGTTTGATCAAAGCTCCTTAGGTTTGTGTCAAGTTGATGAAGTAATACCAGTAAAATCCTTGGAATGATTATTTCTGTTGTTTTTTAAACCACAACACTCAATTTTCCCTTTGAAATCACATTACACTTCACTGTTTTCCTGAGCCCAGCTTGCCTCTATTAGCTGTTTCATTAGATCACATTTTTCTCTTCTGATTTGCCAAGAAAATATCAAATTTCTCCCCCAGAACACTGCAGAAGATTACAGAAGACATTCTTCCAGCCATGGAAGGGGAGAGGAATTTTTCAAAACCATTTTTTAAAACTGTAACTGGTTGGCAAACTGAAAAATTAATTGACTTCCCCATTCTAATGAATTGCCTCCTTTACACAGTGTTTCCACATACCAATATAAGTCCTGTGGGACAGACATTCCCGAGGTCCTGCAGGAGACAGAAACCAGCAGTGGGACAAGGAGTGGGACTGACTCTGCTTGGGCCAAGATTGGTGCTGAGATTATTCCTCTTCCTCTTCCTCGTGAGACTGAGGAAACAGTCCCAGCCCCTTTTCCTGGCCTGGATTCCTTGTCCCAGCCCCTGCCCAGCAGGAGGGCAGGGGATGCAGCTGATGAGTTTGGCTCTGGGGACCCCCCTGAGATGAGACTCTGTCCCCAGACCCGCTCAGTGAGCCTGAGTCACTCCTGTGCTCCTGCTCAGCCACAGGGAAGCTGCATCAGGAGAAGCCAAAGGGCTCCTGGTCCCCTGCAATCCCATCAGGGAGGCTGAGTTTGTCCTTCAGGGATGTTCATCCACAGAAATTAAAGTGCTGGGCGCAGTGAGGTCCTGAGATGAAAAATCCACCCAAAATCACTGCTGAAGGCTGCACACAAACTCACTGGGACACCCCAGAGCAGAGGAACCACTGCAGTCACCCCAGCCCCAGCCCCACTCCCTCCCCCCTTTTAGAGCTCTGAGAACTCCCTGTTTGCCTCACTGCAACAACGGGCTAAAATATAGGGGGAAAAGGAAGATATTAAGAGCTTTGGAGATGTTCAGAGCAAAGCTCCTGGTGCTTTGAAGTGGAGCAGGGTATGTAAAATTATGGAAACGAAACAAACAGATGTTGCTCCCCTAATTAAGAACTGCAAAGTCAGATTTTCCTCAACTGTAGATAGCACACAAAAGAACAGGGAGAAAGGCTCATGTGATTCCATAAAAAGAGCCAGCACTCAACAATAATTCTTCTATCAAACAATCAAAATTAGCTTTGTGTTGTTAAAATTCTGCCCGGACACAGGGGAAATTAGCTGTGACTTTCTGTTCCTTTCTCCTTTCAGTTCTCTCTGAGCCCATGGCTGCACTTTAAGAACTCAGGTCATTAAATTGCTTTCTGAATTTGCATGTATTTGAAATAATCTCATTTTATGAGGCTGCCTTCTGCCCTGGCCTGCTGTCAGCGTGACTGCTCCCACCTCACGGGTGCTTCTCTCAGGTCTTCACTGATTATTCCTGGCACCAAGGGCTGGGTTTGGAGCTGGGCTGCACATCCAGCTCTGCCCTGGAGCTGTGCCTTCCCTGCCAGGGGCTCTCCTGAGCTTCTCCTGTGGGAATGCAGCCCCAGAGGGGGCACCCAGCCAGGGGCAGCTGCAGACAGACCCTGCCCA